AATCTGCCCTCCCATCGACCCGTTCGTGTCGAGCGTAGAGGCCTACGATCGTTTTGTCCTACGGGATAGTGCGGCCGTACTCTCTGCATTCGAACCCCCGCGAGCGGTGCTCCTTCGGAGGCCCACATGGCCTTGCAGGTTGGCATGCCGGGTCGGGTTTGGGTTTGTGAATCAAACCCGTTTTAGAAATTGAGTCAGGTTCGAATTAGGCGGGTTAAAGGCAGGTCAATTTTCAGTTGGATCTGAAGAGGACACGAAAACTTATTTTGACATAGTTACTAATTAATATACCTTTAATAATTGATATATCTAGAAAAATCATTTTGAACGTGTATGAATTTAGATCCAATCTAAATTACAAACTTCAAAATAAAATTTTGAACCATCCAAACTCTGATTTCATCAAACTTATAGGCAAATTGAACATCTCATGGATATGAACCCAATGACACCAAATTTAGTCAAATCCTACCCCAAATGGGCTCAAATCAAAGGACCAATGCTTATTTGAATGCTTCAAAGAATTAATTAGATGACTACATAATATTAGAATATTAAATTCTTATAGTCAAATCGAGCAGCTTTACGAGACCAAACAAAAAAGCCCAATCACTCACTTTAGTCATCACTAAAGTACTTAAATGTTTAATAAATATTCTAGAATCAAGGGAATCAGTATGGGCCATTGATGAAACACTCTGAAATTGCCCTGAATTTTCTTCATATTTAGAAAGCATGTCACGCCTTAAAAATTATAAATAGACAGCATTCTTCACATAAAGAGGAAAAGAATAAAAGGAGGATGAAGAAGGAGAGAACTCTGAGGCTTGAAGAATACTGGCGCTCCACCTCGGCACCATTACCGATAAATCCTTGCCACCAAACCACCATTGATACACTTACGACTGATGGTTGTCATCAAACCTCCATTCAATCATCACCATTGGCTCTCTAGTTGACCTCTACCACTTACTGATTCTGATCCTTCCGACAGCCATTATCAGTTAGCTCGATCCATTTAATCACCATCGCCCGACTATGATCATTCTGACCTCGATCACTAGCCAACCATAATCCCTCCAATCATTGTCACTTGAATATGATCCTTCAAATCACTATTGCCCGCCGATTACGATTGTAATAACTGAAATATGTGAAATAAATTTATTTAAAAAAATATGAAAATTTTAAAGTAAAGCGCTTTGACGCTAATCTGGTAAGCGTTGCAGTGATAAGCCATGAAAAAGGGAAAGAAGAGAGAGGGGGGAAAAGGTAATTGGATCATATTTGTCATCCATTCTTATTACAGCTTTTGCCTATTCACTGTAAAATTTAAAAAATCATTTTTTTAATTTACCTTGTAAAATTTAATAATATTATTGTCAAAATATATTTACAATCTATATCTATTATATACAAAAAAGTTATATAGTAGAAATATGATAAATTAGGACAAAATATTTTTTATCAATTTAGGAGAAGAAATTCATCAAACTCAAAATCATTAAAAACAAAAAGTAGATTTTGTTTACTTACAACAATTATGTGAAATCTCTGAATATTTTTTATGAACGAAAAAAGATCCAAATGCCCTAATCTCCGCTCCCTCTCTTCTTCCTCTTCCCTTCTATCTTTCTTCCTCAACAAGTCACACAAATGGAGATGGTTGAGTGGGTGTTTTAGGCATTAGGCTTAGGATTTAATATAAATAAAAACTCAATTAGTGGCCTAAAGCCACAAAGCCGGTATTTCATGTCAAATCTAGAATTACTATAAAACAAAGCAACAAGCGTCATTGAAGCAAATTTTGGCACTGCAGTTTTCAACGCTGCCATGCTTTAGTTCAAACACATTTTATTTTTTCACATTCTAGCATTTGTATTCAAGCTTAATCATTAATATAGCGAGCTTTTAAAGTTTGTTAACAGCCAGCTTAGAAATTCAGCTAATTAACAGATAAAAAAATTAGAAATCACTTATTAGCAATCGGCACAATATATAGCCGTTAAATGTCCCTATTCTTGCTTTAAAATTCATTAGAAGACAATGATCAAAACTATCTCGCGACTCTAATCGTCATCTTCCTCCTCGAAGTTGGAATATTCAGATAAGACCTCATCATCCTCCTCATCTTCTGCTGCACTCTCACTACTCTCTACATACACAGCTCTGGTTCTGTTCTCCCTCTTCGGCCTCGCCTTTGCAACAGAATCCTCACGCTGTGCTTCATCAGAAGTTCCAAGAGAAGAATTTTCACTGCTGCTACCATTGATTCCAGACTTGTCTAAGAACGAGCCGCTCTTCTTGTTGAAGGGAGATGGCCTAATCTTCCTCACTTTCTTCTCTGGAGAGTCGACAGCATTTGTTGCAGGCGGCAAAAGTTCAGAAATGAGCTTCTGTGCCAATAATGGTTTGATCTGTCCCTCTCTTTTCTTCGTTGTGATCGTTGCTTTGGCCTTCGTAGCATTTGCTGGCTTTCTTCCTCCACCAGCTCCTTTCTTCCCTTTAGGGACCTTGCTGTTTTCAAAATCTTCATCATCGGTATCCTCATCAGACACAACTGTCATGGCTTTCCTTGCAGCTGCAGCTCTCTTCTTTGGTCCTTCTTTAGCTGCAGCAGCCTCCGGCATAGTTTCAGTCTCCATGGCTGTAAAAAAATTTGAATTTTAGGCTTTTCTTGATAACAATATTTGAGTACTGTGAGCCAAGATCATACCAAGCCTTTCTGGGGAAGAATCAAGATTGTATGCTTCCAGTCTTTCTTTGAGTGCAACTAAATCTTCATCTTCATCGCTTTCAACAGAAACAGGCTTCAAAAATGACATGTAATGTGTAGTTTAGCTCAAAGGAGTAGTGAATGACATATCTTACAAAAGAGAATGAAATTACTACTAGGAGCAAACCTGAGATTTAGATTTATTTTGGAGCCTTTTAGGTTTATTCTTAGTTACCTCTTGAACAGTTTCTGCAATTAGGTATTCCAACGTTACTAAGATAAACCATGAGATAACTTGATAATACAAGAAATGGTATTTGTAAAGTAATACCAGAATCAATTGCAATTGGTTCAGTAGCTGCAGAAGGCTTCGTGTTGTTCTTCCTTGGCTTCTTTGGTGCTTGTTTAGCAGCCGCAGCACCACCATTACCTGCTTTTGCCTTGATTTTTTTCCTCGTTACTTCAGCTTCAGCATCTTGTCTTTCTAGATTCTGTTCAAGATGCAGGAAATATCATTAATTTAACATATGACGATAAATGGGGTAAGATAAGATGACCTAAATAGTAATATAGGAATAAATAAAGACATGGTAAAGGATTTGAAAGCATTGGTGAAGGACTCACATCTAGCTCTTTATCTAGAGCATCTAAATCTTTGATCCATAGTGAACTAGGTGAGGAACCCCTCAATTCCTTCACATCATTTTCAAATTTCTCCTTCTCAGAGCAAAGTTCCTGAACCTTTTCCCAGGTCAAGGTTCCTATAGCCAAGGAGAGTAGGTAGTCATAATCACTCGGCTTCACTCCACCTTTAACTACTTCTGTAGTCTCCTCGGATTCTTCAGTTTCTGGTGTGGCTCCAGCTATAGCTACATCAACGCCCTTAGTTTTCTTTGGGAATGGAGTGAACCCTTTCTCTTGTAGCTCAAGGAACAATTCTGCCCTCTTCCTGTTGTTAACTATGATCTGACCTTTAACAACACCAAGAATGAACCTAACTTTGTTGTCCAGCTTTAACAGGTCCAACTCAAGATTATCCAGCAAAGCTTTCTGCACAAATTTGGCACAAATTATCCTCATTTGCATGTGAATCCGTTATTGAGTTGTTAAACTATTTAATGCCATCTTACCTTCCTTTTCTCATAATATGTAATCCTTAGATGGAAAAACTCCTCAAGAACTGTAAAGTTGATTAAGAGTTAGGAACATTTATAGCACATAAAATGACATAACATGAGGATAAATACTCACTTTGTTCTGGTGTATCATATTTCTTAATGACTCCCTTGTGGTCAAAAAGATGCATATTGCTAGTGCTGATAGTAGTAGAAAGTTTAAACTTTTTCTCAAGTCCCTCTTGCTTTGCCATTATCAAGTTCTGGTCGGACAATGTAACCTCAAAATGCACAGTGGTGTCATCATTGTATTCTCTATAGTCCTACAAGATTATTATTGCTTAGCAAGGCATAATGATGCTCATCCAAAATGATTCAATATATCAGAACTAGTTTTTTTTACCTTAATAAATGGCTCCTTAACTTTATCAGTTCCTGTCACCAATGATTCCAGAAATTCCTTGTAGTCCTGAGTCCATCTTCGAACTGGAAGCTCAGTTATTGTTAAAGTGTTGCTGTCACTCTCCTCTATGATGCCAGTGACAGTGTAGGTAGCGCAAGCTTCCTTCACTGCTGTTTTCTCAATTAGGCCCTGATTGTATTAGGAGAAAAAAAATGTCATTCTAGATATTTTCTGAAGAAAACCTCAACTTATGCTTATGAAAAAATGTCATCTTTACCTTGAAACCGCGATACCATGGATCCATTGGTAACATTGGCTCATCATTAAGCAAACGCCTTAAATTTTTTACAATATCTCTTGGATTATAATTAGGAATGTAAGAGCTCCAACCAGTACCAATTCCCTCACTCCCATTTACTAAGACCATGGGAATAATTGGAACATACCTGCAGGTTAATTGTAGTTTAAATTGGATACACTGAAGCTTCGTTTGGGACGGCTTTCTTATTGCTTCATAAAGTAATGTTTTAGCTAAAAAATTTTAATTTTTGAATTATAAAGCTGCAGTAAAAAAGCCGCCCCAAACAAAGCATAAGCCTATGACAAATCAATTGATAATAAATAAATAAATACCAGGCGGGTTCAATTGATTGCCCATCCTCACTCATATAGTCAAGAATAAGATCATCTTCCTTGGGAAACAAGAACCTGGTCATGGGTGACAACTTCGTGTAAATATACCTGGCACTAGCATGGTCCTTGCCTCCCTGAATGCATATACAAGAGAAAAGAATATATCAAAATTTATATAATAAACTAAAAATAACATAGATAAAATATATGAACCATCTGATGAAGTTTTATACTTGGTGCCGAGTTCCAAATTGCCCATTTGGCTGCAGAAGATTGATATTATTGCTACCTACGAAATCTTGGGCCATTCCAATTATAGTACTGGCAAGACTTTGTTCGCCATGATGGTAAGCTGAATGCTCAGAAACATAACCTGAAAATTGAGAAATCTGCAAATAGTCGAGATTTAGTCAACTTTAATGAATTTGAATATGAATAAACCATATTTATTTAACTGTTCTGTTTTCTGACCTTTGCTTCCTTGACAAAGTTCCTTTTGAAGGAGCAAAATAGAATCTTTCTTTGGCCAGGTTTTAAACCATCAACCATGGATGGAATAGACCGCTGCAAGTCTGCCATGGAGAATAATATCAGCTCCTTGTTGACAAAGTCACTATAGCTAATAAGTTTTTCGTTCTGATCCAGGTAAGTTCCAGGCTGCAGTTATAGGAAAGTAAATTTCAAAGTCTGAGAAAGTTAAAAGTTTTTATGTAATGGCAAAGAAAGACTATATCCTATTACTTCAAATTGCCGCAGCCAATTTTTCCTGGCTTCAATTTTCTTTTTGCTGAATGCAAGTTCTATAGCTTCTCCGTCCTGTTCATCAAACCATACAAAATCTTTCTTGTGCTTTTGAAGATCTTGGAAGTACTCCTTTCCTTCTTTGGATGTGCTAGTTCCCAACCCCTATGACCGTTATAATTAGAAAACCATTACAAACTGTAAAAATTTCCATGACAGTACAGGATTAAAGATTAACGACGCATGGAAAAGCAGACCTTATAGTACTTTATAGACCAGCCACTTGCATTGCCACCCAAACTTTCTTTCCAAGATTCATACTCAGGCATAGTGTAAAAAGACAAGACCTTACCTGTTCTGTAAGTTGCCTGAAACATCAAAAATAAAAATGTAGCAATATCATTTTTTACATATTTCAAAGCTCCAAATCAGATTTTCATAAAATGTATAGGCTTACCTTCACAATCGGTGTTATGAACTCTACCAAGAACGAGGGGATTTTAAGCAGTGAAGGCCAAAATGAGTGTATAAAGTTAATCAAGAGCCCCTTAATGTGAGAGCCATCATGATCCTGAAATTGCAAAATAAGAATGCTAGATTAGAAATGTTAAATCATTCACATATCTGCAGACAGAAGGCATAAATTATCAGTTCATGTTGAACCTGATCTGTCATTATCATGAGATGACCATATCGTAAACCCTTGACACTTTCATACTCTTTCCCTTGCTGCAACCCTAGAATTTGCTTTATATTCTGGATTTCAGCATTCTCCATTATCTGTTTATGACTTGCTTCTCGAACATTCAGCAATTTACCTCTCAGAGGAAACACACCATAGTTGTTTCGACCAACAACTGAGATACCAGCCATCTGTTACAGGTAAGACAGAGAAATGAGATAATTTTCCCCGAAAAATACTAGCCTATGAGGACAATTTCTCTCATGAAAGAGGATATAATTTCAATTGGTTTAATAATCATGAAACACTTACAGCAAGAGCCTTGGCTGAATCTCCTTCAGTCAAGATTAATGTGCATTTCTCTGAATTCTTTCCTCCAGCATCATTAGCGTCATCGAGCTTCACAATGCCAGAGATTTTCTGCCTTTTTGTTCCATCTGTCTTCTTCAATTCCTTATTCTGCTTGAAATCAGCCCATGAGAGAAGACTTTCCACAATTCCTGATTTAGCCACTGCAAAAAGAGAAATTTAAATTCGTTAAGTGCTGAACCAGATAATTTAACATCGCAATATAAACAATTACCCTTCTTGAGAAATTCTTGTGAAAGATCGCACTTTGACCCGAAGCTTCCTTGACGAGTGGTCAATGTTTCCTTAGTTTGCGAGTCAAATGCAGGGTTGTCAATGAGGCAATTGACAAAGACCCAAAGATGATTCTTCACATTATGTGGCCTGAGGTTTGCATTCTTGTTCTTTTTGTTCACAATGCTCATCACATGACTAGCAATTTGGCTGGTGACATACTCAACGTGTGTACCTCCCTTAATAGTGTTAATGGAATTAACAAAGCTCACCTGATGAATGGAAACCAAAACAAAATCATGATCTATTGAACTTTTGTTACTACAATTGATAAACAGGCATTTAAAGTTCATGAAGTGTTCTTTCAAGAAACCTGTTGAAACTGCCCATCAGTGAGGCTTACACATATCTCCCACCGATCATTGACTTTCTCAGCAATCCTAAATCAAATTACACAAAATTCTGATTTTGTTTAAGTTGAGAAGAATTTAACCGTAAATGAAAATCTTAGATCTTTTCAAACCTTGGAAGGGGCTCGGGTCTAGATTTGGAAGCAGATTGGAGGTAAAGGTTCACGTAATCAGCAAAAGTTTTAACAGGTAATCGTTTCCCGTTCAACTCAACCTTCACAGTCTTACCCAATGTTCCAGCTAGATCAACAACCCTCTTTTTCATCAGTGCAACCACATCTTCTTCAAGATGGTCCATATTGAACTTCAGCAGGTCCGGCTTGAACGTAACCTTAGTCCAGTTCTCTCCTTCCTTGCATTTGGTAATGGAGGGCTGGGATTTGGTTCCCATGTTTCCGGTGAACACCTATATTGGAGAACTCATTTGAAAGAATGTCATGAGAAACAATTGGCATCCTGAACCAGTACTTGGACTGTAAATCTTGGTAATTTATTTATAACAAAGATCAGCATTGTTACAAAGCTAAAGTCCTAAATATGATATAAATGGATTTAAAGTTCTACATCACTCGTTGCAGTAAATTACATAAGGCTTCATTTGGGATGGCTTTCTTACTGCTTCTTAGGTCAAAGATTTTAATTTTTGTACTAAAAAGCTGTATTAATAAGCAATAAGAAAGCCGTCTTAAATGAAGCCTAAGCCTTCATTTGGGACGACCTTCTTACTGCTTCTTAAAATAACAGTAGAAAGAAAGTCATTCCAAACGAAACCAAAATCAAACAAAACACAATCTAAATAACACTATACTTCATATAAAAGCAAAACAAACAGCCACATACATTTCAATTTCAGCAGAACTTCACGGATTCAAATCAACCATAATCGAGGGCTATCATGTAACGGATTCTTAATATATATTATTGAGTGCTTAATTCCAGGAGGGGAATTTCAGCACATTCTATGATCAGCACATGCCAAAATTATTAATTCAAACATAATTAATAACTGACAAATTATTGTTTACCCTTGTTCCCTTTATTTGATTGCTACAACCCTGCAATCCATGAATTTTCTTTAGTTTTGCATCGCCTCGACATTTGTACATTGGGATTGCTTCTTTTCTCTTTTATCAATCGCCCAAGAAAATGAAATTTTGATTTTCTATGGAAGACTTTCTGCTCCTCTAATTCATATGGAATGAATTGAAAAGTATGGGTAATCTTGCCAAAATCTATAAAACAAGGGCATTAAGAATACAGAGCTGCATATTCAGCAATATCTAAAGCCTAACTCCCAAAATCTGAAAGCCGGAACCATCTTCATATCAACGTTCTCCGAAACTCTGATAAAAGAACGTCTCAAGAAGATGATTAGCATAAACCCTAACCCAGAGGGTGAACCATCGTTTTATTAAAGTCTCATAAAAGAAATCTCAAGAAGATTGAGATCACAAATCCTAAACAGTCCGATATCCTCAGAACTAACAAAGAATTCACAAGAACTCAAATTACATAAAAAAGAAAAAAAATAAGCTGATTCTTTGACGGAAAACCCCAAATTAGAATGAAACTGTGCATCAAAATGAACAAGAATGAAATCAGCCGACAAAAAATAATCCCAAAAAGTCACCTGCTTGTACTTCTTTTGCCTCTTCCCATCTGCCGTCTGGATGATAAACTCAGTTGAGAAGATATTGGTCAGCTTCGCACCGTACCCGTTCCTACCACCAGTGGTCTTCTTGACGTTATCGTCGTAGTTGCTGCTTGTGAGGAGGTGTCCAAAAATCATCTCCGGTACGTAGACCCCCTCTTCCTGGTGGATCTCGACCGGAACACCATCACCATTGTTGTAGATGCTAATGCAGACGGCCTCGGCATCAATGTCGACCTTGAGGGAGTCCATAGATGGATCCCTCTGCTTGTTGTCGGCAGCATTAACCAATATCTCGTCAAAGATCTTGTAGAGCCCGGGCACATAGGTCACGGGTCGGTGAACCATCTCCTCATTCTCGTAGACCCATAGAGTCTGGGTATGCTTCTCCACCGAGCCAATATAGGTGTCAGGGCGGAGGAGAATGTGCTCGAGCTGCGTCTTCTTCTGGTACATCTCCTCGATCGTTTTCTTGCCGTTGGCGGCTGTGTCTGCGATGCCATAGGCGGAGTTGTGCACGGTGCTGCACTGAAGAGGGAGCTTCTTCACGGCGGCCATGGCGTGTGTAAGAGAGACACGGAGATTGTGTCAAGAAGGCTAAAGGCCGAGCGTCGAAATGAAGAACTTGCGAGATTTGTTTGTTTGTTTCGACGTTTGTTTCGACGTTTTTCCTCCGTTTTCCTCTTTTTTGTCAGTTTGAAACGGAAAACACAGCACTGAACCTGTTTGGACGTGAGGCGGACTTTTTTTAAAACTCCATTATTTTATTGTTTTATTTATGGTAATTAAACTCAATTAAAATACATTGACTACACAAATTTTGTGACACTTTTCATATAAGAGGTAATTAAGGCTTCGTTTGGGATAATTTTTTTATTACTTACTAAAACGGCTTTCTAGTACAAAGATTTCTTGATTCAAGAAACCTGTATACTAAAAAATTGTTTTAGAAAGTAGTAAGAAAATTGTCCCAAACCAAATCTAATTTGAGGTGGCTCATTTGCTCATAATATGCTCGTGAGCCAATATTTATAAGACAAGTTTTATTTATTTTAGCAAGTCCCTTATTGACCTATCAACTATCGAACTAATTCATTTTCAAAATATGATACAAATTATTACAAATATTGAATTCTTAATGTTTTATTAAATTTACAAAAGTTATGAAAATTCTGATTCCAGTATTTCTCTCTCCTAATTTCTAATTATCTCTCCTTAATTTCTCTCTTTTTTTTTGAATGAATATTTTGCTCAGTACTTAAGCTTCTTCTTTTGTCCTCAAGTGAAGCTTTGGCTGATCAAACTCGACTTATTTACACCAATAATTAAGGTTTCGTTTGGTATGATTTTTTTAAATATTTTTTAAAGTAGTTTTTTTTTCCTTTTTTTTTGGAAACAGTGTATCCACCCATCGCCACCCCCGAAAGACTGCTTGGTGGCGTGATTAATCATCGACTGACCTAGAAGAGACATCCACCCCAGAAACCTCCTGACCCACACTTTGTTGGACCCCACTTAAGAGCGCTGCCGCTCGAGGAGAATCGAGCATGGGTTGGGAGATTCCCAACCGTACCCACCAACCAAGCTAAACAATGGTGGGTTTAAAGTTGTTTTTTAGTAAAAAAATTTCTAGTTCAAGAAATTTTTGTACCAAAAAACTGCTTTAGAAAGCTATCGATCCCAAGTGAATCCTAAGACTTCATTTGAGATAATTTTTTTTATTTCTTTCAAAAATAATTTTGTAATAATTTTTTTAAATAATGACAAAAAACTATCCAAAATAAAGCCTAAAATTAATCCCACTTGCCTAAGAAATAGTGCTAAGAATGTCAACAATAGAGACAACACTACCTCAACCATAGCGAATTAAGCATCTCTCTTTATGCAAGTCGTTTTAAAATGTCAATTAGTATAGCCATCAAAGTTAAAATGTTCGTCATTGTCCCTCCAATAATTTGAGCATCTATGGACAATTATATCGCCACATTATGGCATCTTTAGAGCTGGGGCTAAGTAATACCACAGATTTGAAGTCACACTTTGTAAGTCTGAAGAATATCCGAAGAAACACTCAGTAAAGATGAATGGGAATCTAAGGATGACTAATTATTGCAGCTGTGATGTAACTTTTTCGTAGAATGAGCAAATACATGGATAAAACTCACGAAGGGGCCTATACATTAATAACAATAAAATGGATACACGACCTATCATGGACAAAAACCAAGAATACAATACAAAAAAACTGCAAAGAAGAAACAACAAGCAGTAGAAAAGGCAAAAGTCAGTCGGGCTCAGTCATTGACAAGAAGCTTTTTATCACTAGCCAGAAGTTAGGCAAGGACCATCCAGAGGAGATACAATAAGTTGAATTGAGCTTGAGTTGGCCTTTAACTCGATCTTGAGTCGATGTAATTTAAGCTTAGCTTGACTAAGCATATAATTAGCTCAAATTTGACTTGGGTTTCATTTGGGACAGCTTTTAGCCATTATTTTTTCATTACTTTTATTAAATTGTTGTGCTAGAAAGTTGCTTTTGAAGGCATTAAGAAAATAGTCCCAAACAAAACCTGAATGTGGCTTTGAGATTAATGAATATATTCGAATATTAGTTAAGTAATGATAGACTTAAGTAGATCATTACAAAAACTTTCATATAAAATTTAAATTAATTTTTTTTTTGTAGTGCGTTTTTATTTAACTAAAATGCTCTTAATGAGCATACTCAATGAGTCATCGAGTTGAATCAAGTACAACTTAAAATCAAGCTTAAATATCAAATGAGCTTTAAACATAACTCGTGTGCCAGTTTGACTCACACCTCAGTATTATTATTATTAGAGAGAGAGAGAGAGAGATGGAAGAGAGAGAGAGAGAGAGAGAGAGAGAGAGAGAGAGTGAGTGATGGAGAAAGAAAGAGTGGATATATTAATCAAAGTCTCTTTCTTAATTAGTCTTTCTATCACTCTCTTATTGCTTAATAATATTATTTGCTAGAAGAGTCGAAAATGACAATACTTATCCTCTGTAAAAGATTTAATTTTATAAATGAGTTGTTAATAATGATATATCATCAATTATTACTTGCATAACTTCTCCTTAAGCAATCATGTTTTGATAGATTTGATTTATAAAGAAAAACTTATATGAACAGTGAATGGCTTAGGCTTCAATAATTGCTTGAATGATTGCTTCTTAAAGTTGTTCAAAATGGAGTCTAAGTCATTCACTGTTCATATACTATTATGAATGTTAATATAAAAGAACAAAAATTGATCCTTATATATTAACACTTTTTTTACGTGGAAAATCAGAAAGGGAAAAAATAATTGGATCTGACCCAGTTGAAAAATCCATTATATAGTGGGTGATACAAGAATCCTTCTTTCTCATCGTTAAAGAAGACATCATTTAAACAAACATCTGATTTTTCTCTAAGGGAGATTATGTAAATCAGGTGTCCACAGAGTGACAATTAACATCAAACAACAAAGTTTGATTTTTTAAATAGGGAAAATAGAAAGTAGAACTTCACTAGAGGAAAGATATACCCAACATCAAAGTTAAATATTGTTAGTATTCTGATTTGTCATGATTTCTGATGCCAATTGTTAGTGGCAATGGTGGTTATCAGCGATAATAACTGGTGGTGGTCGTTGGCGGCGATGTTTGGAAAATATAAGAGAGCTCTCTCTCTAGTTCTCTCTCTTTTTCCCCTTCTCCCAGATAAAGAATGAGGACCTTTTTATATATTTTTTAAAATGACATGCTCCATACATATGAAGAAGATTTCCTCAATCATAAAGCATTCATTAAATATTTAAATGTCTTAATGATGTTAGAATTAAGAGATCTTGGGCTCGTTACCCGATTTGATTATAAGAATGTACGTCTAATTTAAATATCATTTAGTCATCCAATTAATGCTCTAAAACTTCTAAATATATTTTAAGGCCTTGTTCAAGCTTCATTGGACTAGGATTGGACTGATTTTGTTGTCTTTGGGTTCATCTTGTCGAGACGTTCAGTTTGGCTATTAGTTTGTTGAGATTTGAATTCTGATGGCCTCAAATTGAATTTTGAAAATTTCCAATTCAAATATACCTCAAAATTTGAGCCTGATCAAAGTGATTTTTTGTGAGTTATCAGTTGACCCCCTTTTTTCAGATGTCAAAGCTTGCAGAGTTTGAAAATATATACTTGAGTTTTCCAAAATATTGAAGATTAAAATTTTTGGATAATTATGAGGCTTGACAATTCCCTAGATGTCAACATGGAACTTCCCTTTGGACTGTAAACTAAGTAAAATATCCTTAATTATGATTATAACCTTTTATAAAATTAGCACATTAGTTGGAGCACAAATTATTAAATTTTTTTTTTCTCAAAATCTTCAAATTGCCTTAAATTTAATCATAAAAGCTTCATTGGGCTTTGAAATTGTCATAATTGAGTTCAAAATATTGAAAGATGACCCCAAGGACTAAAAAAATATTGGAATAAGCTTGTCCAGGTTTGCAATGGGGACTGAACTTATCTAGGCTGGTTTGGCCTGCTGGACGATTGGCCGGCCACCTGCTGCCAGCAACAGCGTTGGGGACATACCCACTCTTCTTTTGCTCAGGTAACTGGTGATGAACGCGCCAGACCCATTTGACCCCCTTAGGGGGAGAAGAGAGAAAACTAGAGAAAGTTTTCTTGCATTTTTCAACGATCGACACCGACAACTATCACCATCTATTGCCGTTGCAACCACCATCATCACAAATGATCCATATTAGAAAAATCAGATTATGTTGTTGGGTATTAATTGTCCCTTTGTGAACACTTAATTTCGTAATATTTTGTTCAAATGACGTCTTCTTTAACGGTGAAGAAAGGAGGATTCTTGTATCACTCACTGTATAATGGATTTTTCAACTGAGCAAAACCCAATGATTTTTTTCCTTTCCAATTTTTTCACGTAAAAAAAATTTGATTTTACTACTTTTATTTGTGTACCTACAACTCTGAGACGTAAAATATATATTATACCGACTTAAATTTTTTATCATGCAATCATTCTTCTCAAGTGAGAGATATCAATATCAATTATCTCAGTCCCCTTAAATGAAAACTTTTTAAAATAATCAAGTATCATGTACTTAGAGTGGACTAATCATATCGTTAAAATAATCAATTTTCATGTACAAAGAGTCAACTCAATCATGTTGTTAAAATACACAAATCTCATTTACTAAGAGTCGACTCAATCACATTGTTCCATTATTGGAGTTACTTTCTCTTAAGCATTGCTTTGTGGTGATAGAACATGACGATATAAATGTAGAGTTACAGATCAGATCAACATCTTTGATATTATTTGTTGGACAATATGAACCATAATACGACTATATAGCACCGTTCAAATTATTTTTTTAATCCAAAAATATAAGCTTGTGAATGAGAGCCAATTACTTACTATTTCTAGTAGGGGTGTCAATTCAGGTCGACGGGTCAGATTCGGGTCGAACCTGAGTTGACCCGGATCTAAACGGGTCAACCCAAATCCGACCCTTTTTCTGCAAACGGGTCAGACATTTCAACCCGAACCCGACCCGCGCGGGTTGCCGGGTTGACCCGACCCGACCCATGATGCAGAGGGCAGAGTCCCGAGTTCATGACAGCCGAGTTCGGACGGAGTCCACAGGACCGCGAGTGCGGACGAAGTCTGCGGGACAGCGCGTGCGGATGGAGTCTGCAGGACTGCGCGAGCTCGAGGCGCGAGCTGACAGGTTGAACAGGCGGGCTGGCGGAGTTAGCATGAGAGTGCGAGACCGCGCGAGCGCGGCAGCGGGCGACGTCGCAAGTGCGGGCGAAAACCGGGATAGACTAGACTTTCGGGTCAGTGTCAGGCTGATTTCGGTTTCTCGGGTCAACCCAAACCCGACCTGTTTTTGAAACGGGTCAACACGATCCATTTGCTAAAAGGATCAACCCGAATCGGATTTTTTCGGGTCGGGTTTCGGGTCGGGTCAAAAATTGACACCCCTTATTTCTACTTCAATTTTTATTTATTTATTTGATATCAAGTGGCTCAAAATATCTTTATAGTTCAAATATATTTGATTTTCAGTAGGCTTAGCTTTGGATACTTAATTCTATAATATTTGTTAGCTATATTTATGCCTTTAAATGGTATGATTAAGCATCATTTTAGTGGCTATATGTTTTTAGACTAAAAATACATTTTTACACATTTTTTAGTCCAAATTTCTCAAAATGTGACTTTTCCTTATGCATGTGGCTAAAGATAGTTTTGTCCTTCATGCACTTCATGATTTCAATTCATTAATGATTTATGTATGATAAACTGCTGCTCTTAGTATTTTTTGTATATCTTATTCTCTCATTCATGTACTTTAGCATTTCAATTTATTATTTATTTATGTATGATAAATGGCGATGGACCTGCAATATTATGAAAATAATATACAACAAATTTAAAAATGACATATTTTCTCTACTTGCTTAACAGGTCATACACAAATTGTAAATAATTCTAGGTTCCTCCAAAATTCAGTTAAATGAATTAAAACATATGAGCATAATGATCAGTTCTTCAGTTTTTTAATTAAGAAAATATTCCATTACAGTACAATCTGCAACTCAACCAAAGATACCTAATTTATTGTCAGCCTTATCCTGGATACTAGCAGTACCTGAACTTCCAGTAGATCACTACTTGCAGTTCCATGGCTATTGAGATACCTCAGCTTCAAACCTACATGAGAACGACAAACAAAGCTGAGATATCTGCATGAATGGATAAATTAATAAGAAAATGTCAAAAATACCATGAAATGAGCTTCTTCAAGCTTTGATTCCATTGGCCTGAGCTGCTTTATTCAGTTTCCTTGCAAATGTTCCAGCTACCAGCAGTGGAAAAGCAATTGTTGCGTCACAGTGAACCTGTTAGATTCAGAAAAGCATGTTTCTATGACGATTTATGATAGAATTCAAGCCTCTGAATTTGCATTTTATAAAGGAAAAATCATACTAACAACAAAGTACTTTTATTATAATTCCATTGATCCTCGTGCGAGCAAAATCTAACTGTATCTATTTAAATGTGTTGATTAATCATACCTTAGCAGTTTTGGCGGAGCCTTTGATCTTTCCCCATGACACAGCTTCATCTGGCCGGGCTCCAGAATCACTACCGTCGAATTCCTGAGCTGTATTGATGAACACAGCATAATCTGTACCGTTTCGTAGCATGTTAGCGTTACAGATATGATGCTTTGGAACCCCTCCTCCGAGTATTATGACACCAGTCTTCCTTGGGCTTGCATTTACTGCTTCCTCGTCCATTGCTCTCACATCTGCATGCATAAATTTGTATATCACTTGAAAATATTATATCACATGATTTAGTGTATGTTTTGGTTTTGATGGTTTAAGAATGTGGTTCGTATATCAATCTTGTTTTTAGAAAAATGTGGAACTCAGTGGCTCCAAAGAATATTTATGTTTTCACTAGGAGTAATTACTTAAAGGTTTGATGCAGATGGATGAGAAATTAAGAAAGAAAGGCTTTTAAATTACCTCTAAATGTTAATGTTATTTTCATATGGAGAACATTGAGCATGTTTTTGTTAATGGCCCGATTGTTGTTAAAGTTTGGTATGTTATGGATGTCGCTATGGGGGTTAATATGACTTATCATATTACTTCTTGTCTTAATATTCTTGAGCATTTGTATCATCAAAGGGGTGCTGGTCATATTCCTTCTCTCATTCCTCATATGATTTTTTTGATTTTTATGGAAGGAACAAAGCAATTGTAAACACCAAGGTATTAAGATGAGTTTTTATCATATTATTTTTGCCTTGAATTAAGGACAAAGTTCACCAACTTGTCTCCACTAAAGTTCTTCCCAAGCATTTTAGAGGTAGCAAAAGATGGACTTCTTTTTTTCACATCACTTTTGATACTCCCAACAATTTAGCCTTTACTAAGATTGTGTACTAGTGTAAATCGTCTATGGGTTAATTCAAATTAAATATTATTGGTGCTCTTAATTATAAAATTGGGGCTGGTTGTGGGGGTTTAATTAGATATTATCTTGATGCTCTTGTGTTTTCCTTCTTGCGTTCATGTTGTCAAGGTTATTGTGGTTGAGGCAACAACTCTTTTGCTCGGGATGCAAATTCTACAAAGATCATAATATTCATAACATATGGTTTGAGTCGGATTCTCTTATGTTGGTTAATATAGTGTCTGCTAGCAATTGCTTTAATGCGAGTCTTTTTTTTACTTAGTCAAGAAAATCAAGGCTCTTCTTACGCGATTTGATTATGTTATTACTCATATTTGACGTGAGGGGAATATGTGTGCTAACTGGTTTGCAAAAAAAGGTATTGGTTGCTCTTCTACTGAAATCTACTATAATGAAAATGGCCTCAATGCTCTGAAAGGCCTTATAAGGATGGACAAGCTTGGTTTACCTTATTTTTGTAAAATTTGAGATTTTCTTTTTGTTTTGGTTTCATTGGTCATCATATATTTTGCTCTTTTGACCTGTGTTCTGAGGCTGTCTCTGGGTCCTTTCCTTGGTCTTTGTCACTTCTAGCATTGTCGAGGTTGCAGGGGCTGGTTTTGGTTGTCTGGATAGTGCTCTTTTAGTGTCTGTGGAGACTTCTTTATGGTATTTTATTAGTATTGCTAGCTAGCTAGCCTGGGTGTTTTATAGTTTGTGTTGTTGATTGATGCCTTTTTGTATCTCAATTGGACTCATTTCTTGTTATGATGTTAGGTTTTTTGGTGTGGCTGTTTGTGCTCTTCAAGCTCTTAGTATGCTCCTTTTTGTTTGCTCTGTTATTTTAGGATAAGTGGTTCTCGCCTGTTTGCCTTCATTATTATGTTTGTTTATTATGTACTCCATTTGGTTTTGTTGATCCTTACTTTGCACTCCATTTTTGTGCTCTTGCTTGCTCTTTTCATTTGGTGTTGCAGTTGTCCTGAGCTTTGTGGGTATCCTTTTTTTCTACTCTAGTTTACTGCCTTTATTTGGCAAATCTACTTCATGGATGTTGATGCTGGTAGCGTTTTTGTTGCTCACCATTTTTTGGGTGTTGGCCCCTAGCCACCTTAGATTTTTCTTAGGCTTTTTTACTTGTACTTAGATGGGGTCTTAGGCTAGCTCTAGGTTTTATTTTCTTTTTGATGCAACTCTTCTAAGCATTAGCCAGCTAAAGATTCCTTTTAAATACTTGTACTTTTTTTTTTATATTAACATGCAAGTCCGTTAGTGAATTTTAATAATAAATAAATAAAAAGTGAAATAGCAGCATAATGAAAACACAAAAAAATGTTACATGGAAAATTGAAACAGAAAAAAATTATGAGGTTTAACCTAGTTGAAAAAATTTTACTAATATATTTCTTATGTTACAACTGATATACTTCATGTATTGTAATAAGGAAAAGCATTGATATAATGTATTAAACATAAACTATAAATGATGAATTTCATTGCGGAAATTGGAAGAGTCTTAAGATAATGGATCTATCATTTAGAGATTGTTTGTGATGTGTATATTCATTCACCTTTGAACAAAGAAAATTAAAGACAAAAAATTTAGTATAAATTTTGATAATGATGTTGAGAGTTGGGGTTGATGTTGACACGTGCATTGAGTTTATTGATGATGGTGTGCATCTATATTATGAATGACAACAAGTGTCGACCTTGATGTTAATGCCATGCAACAATCTTATAAATGTTGGCATGCGTCCGCAACATGCCTGTAATATTTCGTACTCGGGGTTTCGTCGTGAAGAAATCAAAGAAGGCGAGGAAGACAAAGAAGACGGTCAGGTTATGGAAGTCGAACGATCCAAATCTTGTGAAGATGGAAAGCTCTTTCCCGTCTTTTGGTATCATGAAAGACAAAGGATTTAGGGATATTTTGTCGTTGGCTTCGTCTCCATAAATTAGAGAAGAGAGAGAGGAGGGAGACTGAGAGAACTTAAGCAACGAACGTGAGAACATGCGAACAACTGAGAGAGAGAAGAGTTATGCTTTGGGAGGTTGAACGAGCAAGGCAAGCATAGGAGATTGAGTGAGAGGTAAGATTTGCTTTTAATATTATTAGGAAAATTTATATTTTAAATAGAAAAAATATATATAATTTTATCATTAATCATTTTTAATGATCAGGACCCACTGATCGGGTGATTATGTTGCAAAATTACATCATTATATTACGGTCATTGTCAGAGCCTATATGTTCCCCAACGGCTTCAAATCATTGAGCAATGAATCAATATGATATAATCGATAGGGCACAAAACCCTTTGTTAGATAAGGTGGATTCAAGTTTGTCCCCTTAGATAAATATTCACCCTAGATCTGCAAGGTACCATTGGACGAAGCAACCCATGACTGCCGACAAGGATAATTCTGTCAGGTTGGGTCAACTACCCCCTCTAAGTAGACCAGGGACTATTATGGCTCGGGACGATGGAACCATGAGATTTTTATCAAGCTCATCATCACGGCCCCCACCATCCACTTTAAGTGCAATATGGTAAAATTTTCAATTATAAATATTAAATTCTCACATAGCAAACCCATACTTCTACTATACATCAGATATCATGTATTCCTACGTATTTACTTGACAACTAGCCTTAATCAAAAGTTATCTCTCTTGATTGGGAGGGGTAATAAACTATAGGGGCTTGCGCCTATAGAAAACAGAATTCAAATCATAAAGTCCTCACAAAATGAGGGCGAAATCTCTGGGTAGTGTCTTATTTCAAATCCAATATGCCTTATGAAAATTTGCATTGAACTTAAGTGTTAAAACTCTCCTCGAAGACCTAATAAAGAAAGAAAGGGAGGTCCACAAAAAATTCAGGGCGTAAATTTTTGGAGCCCATTTATTTTTATGGAGTCTTATTAATGAATATCATATTCACTACTAACTTTCTATGGTGGCTTCTCTATAAGCATGCCTTAGTGACCCCTCCATAGTACGTACACTCATGGGGGCCTTTCAAATGAAAAAGTAAAGCATAATAATCATTTTAAAGAAAAAACTAATTACTCGAAAAAAAAAAGATCTCTAATTACCCCCACTATAGATTTTATATCTTGATTCTTCTATTAAATCTATTATACATGCATGATAGATTGAAATGAATGCAAGAGAATTGCATCATTTAGGACAAAAATTCCTTTAAAAAAAAAATAGTGAGAGTAAGCTAATCTTATCCCTTGACAATTTGACTTAGATAAGGCATCAATAAGGAAAGAATAATTAAGTTTATCAAAGCTCCTAGAAGAGTAAAAGTCTATAAAGCAATAGATAAACTAATCTAACTATGTTCATAAGATCTTAATAAGGTTATTAACAGAGGAGCAACTTCAAACGTGCAGTAAAATAGCACTTTTCTAAGAACTAATGGATCTAAACCCTAATGCTTGTCCCTCCTATATATGCACATAATCTCTAAAGTCAAACCTAAATGACCTTCACCTTCTAGATCTTGTGTTGACTGAGATGATTGCTTGTTGGTTTTTTAGTATGGTGGATATATTTTCTCTTATGTTGTTTTGTCTCGGTAGCGAGTGGAAAAGGGCAATGGTTTTTGACAAGTTGAGCATGGTTAGAATCTCGAGCATACCAGTCTCGCGGGAGATGGTGCGAGCAGTTTGGTGAGGTTTGGGCAGCAGGCTGTCCAGTTAGGCGCTGACAGCAGGTAGCCCACCCGGCTCAACAGAATTTGTGATTTTTTTGTTTTGGCTAAAATTCTGCTTCAAATCCTTGAAAAATATCTGCAACAGATTTTTTCGCAACAAATAATTTTACGACACTACTTTTTTTTACGTCGGATTATATTCCGCTTTAAATCATATTTTATAACTGATTTTTCTTATTTTGTGATGGATTTGTTCACCGCAAAAAAAATAATTTTTTTGTAGTGTTTATTTTTATTCTTTTTAATCTATAATATCACGTGACAGAAGACTAAATATGTACCGTTTGTTATTTTTTGCAGTGATTTACATGCAAAATAAATTAATCATGAAACTTAATATATATATATAAACTAATATGTTTTAGTAATAAGTGGAATAAATATATCATGTTTTTTTTTTTAATTTCAATTTGTTTTATTTTTGAACCGGTACTATATTGTTCCATAAAATCTATATAGTTCAGTTTTTTTTTCTTTTGTTGTGAATTATCATAGATGCTCTCCGACAAAAAAATATAGAACTAATAAAATGAAGTCTTAGGTTTCGTTTGGGACAACTTTTTTACTGCTTCTTAAAGCAATTTTTTAATAAAAAAAAATTAAAATTTTGTACTAAAAAACTGCTTTAAGAAGAAGCAGTAAGAAAGTCGTCACAAATAAAGCCTTAGTTATGCTGCACAAAAAGCACGGTAAGCACCTTGAACCAGATCTATAATAAGGCCAGGATTGCGCAATGAATGGAGGTAAAGCATGTCCCCTATGGAACCATCAGTGAGTGCAGGGCAGAACACCGGTATGCCATTCTGAAACCAAAAAAAGAAGAAGGAAAATTTGATTAAAATCATAGAAATATATATATATCTTCCTCACATTAAAATATATATTTTTTATTTATAGCTTATTTAGAATAATTTTTTGTACTAATTTATTTTTCATACTGTGACCATAATTTCTATTTGACTACAACTTTTTTACTATTTTAAAGAAAATTTTATACTAAAAAGATTTTGTTACAATAGCTTTCAAAAAAGTTACTTCCCTAGAATAACTTTACAAATTACAATCATCTTTATAAAAAGTTATAATCGTCTCAAATAGACTCTTAGTATAATTTATATGACTGATGTAATTTTTTTTTTGTTCAGAGCAACAACATACGAGAAATTATTCTGTGCGGAGACCGGACACAGAACGCCATCCGGAGACTGTCCAGAATGCGACACATCAATCTGCGGTACCGAGCACAGGGGTGGACGTGGCGTGGCACATTCGGGCTGGTCACCGGACGACGTTCAGCATCCACACAGAATTATTAATCCAAACATACAAAGAGTTTGTCTATTAGGTATATTTCAATTCACTAACTGTATTTGATATATTTTAAAATTCAAGTAAAAGTACTTTCTGGCTGAAATCTCTTATTTTAGACAAGAAGAATGGCTAAATTTAGGGGACAAGGGGACAAACATTAGAGATAAGGAGTCAGATAATTAATAAATAAACTAGTTTAAAGAATGACTCATTAATTAACTATTTTGTAAAGGCAACTAATGCAGCAGAAATTAAAAATAAATGCTCATGCTAATAATACTGAAGAAGTGAAGATGAAGAAAGGTAGATAGCTCTATTGGTTTACCTTAGACGCCCAATACAAATATGAACTTTCATTGTTTATCTCTTTTCCCAAGCGAGCAATCACCTTTGAAGGTGTCCAATGCATTTTCTACAAAATTCAAAAAAATAATTAAAAAAAATTGTTAGCATACAAAGAAGAAAAGTTAATTAAAATAATCACATCTCAATAAACATAATTTCACATTTAGGTTTCATTTGTGACAGTTTTTTTAGTGTTTTTTAAAGTAGCTTTTTAGAACAAAAATTTTTATGCTAAAAAGCTGCTCTAGAAAGCAGTAAGAAAGATGTCACAAACGAAGCCTTAAAGCTAAATAATCTTAAACAAACTCACAGTTAAGAAAATTATAGTTTCGTTTGTGAGAGCTTTTGGTCACTCTTTTT